AGGGGTTTTTCTTTGGGAACCCTAACCGGAGCCTTTGACTCAAAAGTCTGACCCACAAGGAAGTGGGGCGCAAATCCAACGCGGGAGCGTGAACGAAGCACTTGTGTGGGAGCTTCTAGAAACTTGTCACGCAAGGCCTTTGAATTTCGATTGATTGCGTTGATTTTCGGTCCGCTTTTCGGGATCAGCCCTCAGCNCCCAATGAGACAAGCGGAACGTGGACGGGACAGCACCTTATTGGCTGAGGGCTGCCCAGCTTGGGCGGGCGGTAGCTGTCCAATGAAGTGCGAAGACTTCTCCCACCGTGGAGAGGAAGCCCCAGCTACACCGCTCCCACGTCCATCTAGCGGGGTATTTTGACCGGTAAACTGCCCCTCACCGTTTTTTTTTACTGAAGTGACCTATTCAGGGGCGGGTGTGGATAGAAGAACGAAGCCAGAAGGTGCCCAAGCAGCTGGCTTGTGAGACTGAGCTTCGTCTGGCCTCTACCCGTTGACCTTTCAGGCATGATTGGATCTGCGGCTGTGAGGAGCCAACCTGTATAGCTCGCAGGGTCATTGAGGCGCAAAAGCCATCACACCCCGACAAGGTGCAGTCTCGTCGTGATGGGTAGCGAAGCAAAGGAGATAACCGCCCGTATTTTCAAGGTACGAGTATCGTACGCAGGACTGAAACACCTTGGGTGTACACGCGACGTTTCACTGAAGTTGAAAGGTTGGGTACACTGAGCTACCGTTCGTTTACTTCTGCTTTATGGTTGAAACATTGAACCTGCGATTACAGGACATAGGACTTGCTGTAAGACGACATCTGTGTACTGATGTACTACTTGGCCATAACTTTCTTGGCTTGCATGATAGAGTAGAAATACCGTTTGGTGGCAAACATGGTCCCTTCTCACTCTGCAGCCTTTCCGCCGCCAAAATTGAATCACCTCCCTCGTTTGCCCATCTTTCTGCTGACTGTAAACCAATCGCTACCAAATCCAGAAGATATTCAGCTGAAGATGTACGGTTCATTAAGTTCGAAGTGCAACGCCTTTTAAGCGATGGTATCATTGAACTTTCAAACTCCCCGTGGAGGGCTCAAGTCCTTGTTACCAAGAACGCCAGCCACAAGAATGGTTGTTGATTATAGCCAGACGATCAATCGCTTCACTCACCTAGATGCTTATGCACTGCCTCGCATTGATACCATGGTGGAAGACATCTCACGCTATGCCGTATACAGCACCTTCGATTTGAAAAGCGCTTACCATCAAAGACCACGAGAAGCCTTACACCGCATTTGAAGCATGTGGCAATCTCTTCCAGTTCTGCCGAATACCGTTAGGGGTNCTTGGGCGGGCGGTAGCTGTCCAATGAAGTGCGAAGACTTCTCCCACCGTGGAGAGGAAGCCCCAGCTACACCGCTCCCACGTCCATCTAGCGGGGTATTTTGACCGGTAAACTGCCCCTCACCGTTTTTTTTTACTGAAGTGACCTATTCAGGGGCGGGTGTGGATAGAAGAACGAAGCCAGAAGGTGCCCAAGCAGCTGGCTTGTGAGACTGGTCTTCGTCTGGCCTCTACCCGTTGACCTTTCAGACACAGCAGCTGGCTTTGTGAGACTGAGCTTCGTCTGGCCTCTACCCGTTGACCTTTCAGATATAATTGAAACTACGACTATGAGGAGCTATCATATATAGATCGCAGGGTCATTGAGGCACGCAAGCCATCACATCTTACCAAGGTAAAGTCTTCTCTTGTATAGGTCATAGCCGAATGATGACTGAATAATACCACGGATATTTAGCTTCCAAGGTGCTCGCGCACTTTGGCAAATTTTCTTTGATTTATCTCATCGTATTTTTCGTGTTTCATATTCAGTCGTTTGACGATATATGATAATAATAATAATAATGATAATAATAATAAATATTCTGTTTTTTAGGCAGCAATCTTTGAGATATGTGCCATTTCAGCCCTTATCATAACTGCCAAACATTGAGATTCATTTAATACCTCCAAAATAGGAGAATTACATACCAACATATACTTGATAAGTCCTAAGTGAATGACACTCTATAGTGTAGCGGTATAGTAATTATTTGCGAGGTGAGTTTCCTTCTTCTATTGCCAGCTGTGTGAGCGTAGTGATTTTGGTTTCTCCACCTTGCATCCTCTACGTGTTCATGTAGGATAACAGGGTAACATTGAAAGGCCTAGAACAGCAATCCTCATTTCTTGAAGTGTACCCATTTTCGTCTGTTTACCGAGAGTGACCATTTGTTTGCAAACGTTCCCTCACCTCGACTGCTGAAGAAATGCTTGCGCGCAAATTGTCCAGCTCGGCGAACAGCTCAGAAATGAATTCAGTTCACCCAAGCTACGAGAATCGATTTCCAATAATTTGTCAAGCTGATCGCATATAAACGGACAGCGGATACACCCGGGGGACTGAAAGACAGTTCTTATAGTTAGGTCTACACTATAGCCACATATTAGTGTCGTGCAGAGGTCAATCTAAGGTGATTGGAATCACGCTCAACTCGGATCTCGTACCGGATCTGTGACTCACGGCCTGTTCTCAACGAACCCAACTGGGCGTTCGTGGTTCACCTGATGAGATCAACTGTCGAGTAAGCAAAGGATAGACGGGAAAGTAAACATCATTCTTTGAAAGCGCTTACCTGGCTACACACGTGCACGCTTGACCTGGGGTACATGTGTTCTATTTCACCCCTGTCCCTGTGCGTGTGTGTGCATATGTGAATATTCGTTCAATTGCATAATTAATCAGTTGTCTAAATGCGCGAAATGTTCACCATGTTCAGCACTATGGAATGTGAAAGACGTGATGTGTCGGAACAGAAAATATAACTATCAACGCATAAATTAGACTTGAACGCGCACAAACACATGTTTAGATAAATGGACAGACAGGCAGACTTGAAGAAAACCAAATAGAGTTGGAGCATAAAGCCAGAAGAGGGTTGTGGGGACATTTAATTGCCAAGTTTCACACAAGCCTCCACGAGGATATCATTCTGGGAATGGTAGGAGACCTTCGGAGCCAAACGTTCTAGTTCCCATCCCTCTATTTATCCCCTATAGTAGTTACATCGTGATTCCGACAATTCGTCCACAAAATCAGTGCATTTTAATAGCGCGAACCTCTTACGGCCAGGTCAATTATTCCCACCACCCCATTCCCTCCCCGGTGTTTTAGTTGTCCAACACATTCCCTCTCATACCCTGGACGGCCAATCCAGATTACAGGCCAGACAGCGTATCCAAGAGGAGAATCTGCATCGATTGGAACGTATCTATGCAAACGAACAAATGAGGCCCATCGCGAAAAACCAATCACCGACACAACAACAACAACCTCGTCCACCTCCGGGTAGACCAATCATCAGTGCTAAGAATACCCCCACCTATGGACGGGATCGAGTAAATGGTGCTGATCACGATTTCCAAAGTGCGAAACCACAGCGAGTTCTGTGTGTCTCGACACAGCTCGATCACGTGCCACACAATCTGACTGTGTTTCGATCTCCGGACGAGCCTGGCAGAGCACAAATTGTACCAGGTTGTCCAACGCTCACATATCTGGATTGGGTGGAGGATTCCGAACCGATGTTTGCTGAACAGCGACCAACCACGGAAGAGCGGATGAACTCTCGGAAGGGTAAGTGCTTCAGATGGGTCCAGGTTGAAGGTCTCGATCGATTGATTGATTGGTTACTTGTGTCCGCGTTACTGCATATGCTGTTTATTGTCAACTGAATAGCGATTGTCGAATTAGTGATCAACGTTAGTACACTATGTTTGAGGTCATTGTTTGGCTGATGTGCTTTGAATCAAAGTTTTCTAGAGCTGTTATCTCACACAAAATACTCCTTTCATACAATGAATTAAACACACTCGGAAAATACCATGCTATTCGAGGCAATATCCTAAATGAACCGCTTTGGTGTTTTAGATCAATCCCCATGTGAAATGATTCCCACATTTTGATTCCTTCCATACAAAGGGGTCGGTAGTTCAAATTCCGTATGGAAGAATCGATGTGCATTGCTCATGAGGTGTAACGGTTGCGAAACTCTAGTCTGATGATTGTGGATTATATGGTTATCTAGATAATCTTAGAAGTTTAGGTGTGACAAAGGATAAGATATTGAAAACATAATGATAAATTCACATCCAAACACGCAATGTAGGCGAACATTTTCTGATGTTGAATTCATTCTTAAATCAACACACGGAAATTCACATGAAACCGGTTGCTACGACGCTTCTCCAGGCAAATCAGTGTTCAGGTTGCTCGATTCGGAGAGCATTACATCGGAAGTTTTCCTGGGCTGGGCAGATTTGAAGAGTTCCTCATTTTTCTACACGCCAGGTAATGTAACTTGAACAGGTCAAGTTTTTTTGGAAAAAATAAAACCGAAACAGAGTTGACGTTTGCCAGCCCCATCTTAAGTAGCCGCGTCCATAGGGCGAAGNTAGCACTGCTCAAATCCCCCTTTGTATTCAGAAGAAAACTCGGTTTACCTGTTTTTCATTCGGAAGAGATGACACAGGAGAAAGTATTAACGGAACACTCCGCAATAGTAAACTCAAATTAAAATTAAAATTTCAGGACGTGAGGAGGCCTTCGCCTGTGAGATGTCCTGGTGACGGCGTGTTCTGTCCTGGGACCGACTCACCTGCGAGTTGATATTGTTACCGGTTTATCCGTTCCGGAACTATCATGCACTAATAACTCAACAACAATCACCACCGTTTCTAGAAGGAAACAGATGTCAGCAATCGGAATAGGGACAAATTTGTACCGTTGACCGTATCTTGTCGCGGTTCTTCTTACAAAGGTGAAACGCCAAGATAGTAGTTTGAACGAACGCCAGTAGCCGTGGTTCATACTTGAAGGTAATGGGGTGTTATCACTCACCTAGTAACAGCAAAACACTCTTTAAAAGACGATTTAGCCTTCACAATAGACCACAATGATGTACCCTGACAATGCAGGAACCCCAAGGTTTTGAATACTGGTGACAGTCTGGGGCAAATCGTGTTTAGTCAATTGAAGGCTATTAACCTTTGTCCCTTTCCTAACTATCCTATGTCGAGCACCGTCAGATATGAGGATGACACTGATCAACTATCACTGGCACTTTAATATAAACGCATTCCGGGCTCGTGAGAAGATCAGCGGACCGGACACCGTCAAGCAAAGGGACTTCTCCAATCTCAAAGATAAACATCCGAAAGCAAAATATGTACAATCACGATAAGTACATTCGGTCCAAGTTACCACTTTAAACCAATGGAGAGTTCTTGAACAAACTTCGAAATTGAACTAAATCCACGATGGAAACAATTGCTCTAATTCTAGCTTTTCACTTGTCGAATGGTAAGGCCGCGAACATAACCAACTGGAGGTCCTGAGTTCAAACCCCACGGCTAACGCGAATCTTCCCAGAGCAGCTTTTGTGTAAATGCGGACCCCTTCCTGAAAACTTATTGTTTATTTCTACAACCAACACAAAAAAAGAAGGTAAAAGCATTCATTATTTATTGCTGTCTGCAGTAATTCACGATGTTACCTCAGGAAAGATGTACTTTTACGGAGTTATTTAAATCACCACTGAACTGTTTCCATCAACTCCAGAAGGGTAGAGGATTCTGGGTTTTAGCCGAAAGTCATCTGTTTTCGGCGGTGAAGTGAAACAAACAGGTTCGCTCAATCTATATTACGCATCGTTCTATTGCATCTGTGTTTATGCAGTTGCGGGACCTTAGGTCATGAGAGAATGCACCATTGAGGATGGTACTTTTAAATTGTGGTTACTTATGCTGACATGAATGTATATTAGAGACCTGTTGCAATCATCGAGTGTACAGGATCCTTGCTCGTGTCGATCAGGACGATAGAAGTTGTTTGCTTTGATCCGTCGTTAAGTGCGAATGGAGAATAGTCACCTTTTCTACATACCACTATGTCAGTTGTGTTGACAGCTGACGATGACTTTATCAGCAAACAGTTCATATCCACCGCGTAAAATGTGTCGAATCCTTTTATATTATGAGCTGCATTTGTTTTGCACATATCCCCGTTTCAACAGAAAATCCCCGGGAGAATTTTATAACCCAAATTTGGTTGATGAAATCAGTATTTCCGGTATTGAAATATAGCATGAGTCGGAAATACTGAAGTGAATTGATTGGCCCTCGGCCTTCACCTCTAAGCACAATCCTCGGTTCATAAAGTCAACCATACACTCGGAAACACCAAATTTTAGTTTCATTATTATTAGAGCTCATCAGTAGTGCATACCAGCTCAAATTAATATCAGTTATCCTGCTCACAGGTAACTGAGTTAAATGCGAACCAGTACAAGAACTTTCAGTGGTTTATCAAGTGGCTTACACATCACATCTCAAACATCACAAATTATTAGCCAAATTAATAGGGGTGTGGGGGGACTAGTTTGCTATTTGTCTACATTCAACGGGCTGGATGTGATTTATCTTGCGATTCATTGGAGATGCTCGACTTCGACAGAACAACAAGAGTAGCCGTACCATTTCTTTTTCGATAGCCTAACGGTCGATATTTTATCCAGATCAGGTGATCGATGTCAAACGTAACCGGGATGCAAATTTTAATTCAGCTAGTTCGGTGATCCTGAGCAGAGTGGGGGAAGCCAAATGCTTCATTCCAACACCAACCGTGGGATTAGACTCGAAAGTTGCAAAATAACTGAACGATTACTGAATTCAGTTTCATCGGTGTTCAGCCCAGCCGGAAAGGCATTCCAAACATTAGCCCTGAAGCATCTGCTCACGTGGCAAGCTTACCTTACTCCATAAGATCTCTCGCAAACAAGTAGGCACAGATTCGAGAATGCAGAAACAGGGAATTGTCTTTTATTTGCAAGCACGTGCGTGTGTTGTACAGAGAAAAAAAATATGTAACATTGTCCGCTAAAATGTATTCCCCAGTTTTTGGAAAACCAACTTCATCAGTGTATCCTGTCTTTGAAGGAAACATTCATTTTATGTATGAGTTAGTGTTGAAGGGATAAATCATCAAATCAAAAAATAACTGTCAGTGAGATTGCTTGTGCATTCTTCCAACGAAAATTTAGATTTCCTTTTCTTCTAAGTCGCCCAAATTGAATGTGCAGACTGTTCCAAGCCTGTTTTTAATCAGTTGACTTCTGGGTAAAATCGCCTACGCGGTGCTTCGAACAGGCCCAGTAAACCTTTCTCAGTAGTACTCTATTCTTCCAAAGTGAACGGTTGTGTTGGAAGTAGCGGGATAAAGTATTTTCAGCAAGCCACCAGATATCGGGATATTTCTATCCTGCATACAGAACATTTCAGCTGTAGCGCTTACATTGTCTAATGAGAGACTTTAAAACGATATACTGTTGATTGGCATGAATAGACCCAGATGTGGTGGACCGAGGGGATATCCCATTGGAAATCGATACACAATTCGAGGTATTACAGTTAATTCGTCATTGGTGAAACGTTGAAATGAGCACCAAAAACAAGCTTGTTCGCTTGTTCACAACAATGTTTGTAAATGTTTGATTCCAGGTTTTCAACACATAGATGGTCATGATCAGTTCCGTTCTTATCGTTGAAAAATCAATGGAACATAATTCTCGTGCCTCGGGTTGCATTCAATTCGTTTTTACCTTCTCCCTAAGTTGAGCAGTCGGTTTGCGAATGTTTTGTCCCCGACAGGGGTTCACATTCCGTGTACATACATCGAAGTGGTACATTAGATCACACAGTAATTAACACGCCTATTACACAACACGTGGAATTTTTGGTTAGGCAATTTACACCTATTTGTGGAGGAGTCAAAAAAATAACAAGTGGAATAAGCAATTTTTAGTGAGAGATTCAGGAAATACAATATTACAAATCTGTATAAAGTATGCTGATGATCTTAATAATTGTTACATGTTACTGTTGTGGTAAGTTTTACATGGAATTGGAGTTCCGGAGTTTGAAAGTGTGGTATTCTATCACACAGTTTATTTTGAATGTCCAGAGGAGTTTCAGTGTGCTACTGTACTGTCTCGGGACTCATATGACCGTCGGGGGAGGGAGTTGGACAAACGGATTGGCATCGTCTTTGCATAAGATGCGGCACCTCTTGTCTTAGTCTGTCTTTCATGGTCTATCATCAGATTAGAATAATTCTATACTGAAACTAACCCCACTCGTGGTTGAGACAATACCTTCATGTGAAGCTTAATTCAAGACCTGTGTTCTCGGGCTCCGCGAAAACTGATACTGTTATGACTGATTTATTTCCAGTCAATGCGATCACGTGAATGGTTTTCAAATTGCTGTGGTAAACCTCAGTGGATCTTCTATTTGGCTCGTCTCCTTTTTTGTCCGGGGTAGAATTCCGTTCAACTTTCCTTACCTCCACCCACCCCCCTCCTTCGCTTCAAATGTAATCAGCGGTACGCATAGACATGCCTACTTTTTATTGTCCGATCACTGAGCGACTCAACAAAGTGCACTATGATTGTAAAAGTAGATCAGAATTGTGAAACGCACGCACCCAATCCAATCGAGCACTTATTGATGAAAGGGAATAAATTGGCAACATTTGTCGCCATTTGTGTCGTGCACGACGTTGATGACGGTGCCCCATTGCTGGTTAAACATTGTTTTAGCCATTTCAATCTTCCACGTTCAGTTCCCACTGATCTTACTGAAATTAAATTTTTCAACTTTTGGTTTTTGCTATTCTCAAAGTTGCAATAGAAACCGTTGGAACGGCCATACATTCCGACCGGTGGGAAAATTGCACGTTAGACACAGTAGAATGAACAGATGCTTTCACTGCATCAGTTATTGTTGCACCATCTTCATCCTGGAGGAGGGAAAACGGGGTGGTACACCTTGTGTTCTCATCGGACGAAAACCGGCGCATTTCCTCTCCTCGGACCAGCGCCGTGAATACAATATCCTAACATTGCGTACAGACAATGCAACTTTGATCATTCCGAACCCTGGATGCTCGTGACTCAACAGGGTGTAGGTTGTTTTCACCAACCGCACCGTGCTAAATTTTATTCTGTCGCGTCTTCCGATCATATTTCTTGCGATAACATGAGCACCCCGATTAAACAGGTGTGGCATACTATCCAATGTGGAAGCAGATGGCA